AGAAATCTTCAATGATGAAATATACGACTGGTAAACAAGTATTTTATTTGAATGGAAGTCACAAAACGCAAAACGATGCAGGTGCATTTTGAAAAGTTTTAACTATCCATCATGTAATGAATGTCACTTCAGTTCTACTTTCTGAGTATGAATTATCATATGCAGTAAGAGACAACAATATGCAGCACTATAAACACAGTTTTGTCACAAACTGACTGGCTTCTTCCTTGTAGGATTTCACATGAGTCTCCCCAGACCTTAGAACTGTGCATGAGCTTCTAACTTCTAGCTGAAGCTCAGTGTGTGAACTTCTATAACTGTGAGTCCTTTCCACAGATTGAACATAACAAAGTGGCGGGGGCATCTTCTGTACTAATTTAACCCTCAGATGCCGTCATGCTGGCTGCTGCTCTAAATATCATGTTTTAATATTACAAGACCTTGTCACACTCACAAGTACACAAAGTCTAGTCTTTTTGTTATTATAATTTTGTTTGACTTTGTACTTTTACTCCACTACGTATATCTGCATTTACTGCTAGAAAAGAGTAGAGCTTCCTGCCACAACTTCACCCAGCATCAAGGTGCATGGCGAAGGGAAATCAGTCTAGAGAGACAGAAACTCCAGCAACATTTGTAATGTAGAGAACAACCTTATTACTTTACTTTACTAAATCTGATGGCTCCAGTTTTTGCAACAAATACTATAAAAGTCACCACATCTATTTTATGATATTTTGCTCCCAATATACTGCAGTGATGAAAAGATGGATATTTGTACATTTAATCTTATCATATGAGTTTCTGTCAGTGTGACAGATCCCTGTGGTGGTTTTAGCCGTGGCCCAGTACGGCCTCCACAGGGCTGTGAGCAGGCAAAGGGCTCGCACAGGGAACCAGGTGACCCTGAGGGAGCCCATTAATGTTCACCTCAAGAGCAGTGTTAAGGATTCCACGACACAACAATCACATACAAGCTGGCGACTGAGCTGTCAGAGAATAAAGCTGCTCAGACCAACCCGGCCTGGCCCGAGGCACAGATCAGCAACATTCAGATGCTGTGCCTTGCTCAAGGGGCACATGCAGAGAAGCAAGTTTATTATCACAAGGTCAAGAGTGTAATATGATCTACTGGATTTAGCTGCGGTATTCCACTGAAAGAAAATGAGTAATCATGCAATATTGTCATGATTTTACAAATACCAGGGGTCATAGATAAGAAGGGATTGTTTGCCTGGTTTGAAAATAAACCAGTCAGCTTGTTGTAGTACTACAGTTATCATCTTCAGACACCTAAAAGGTGACTAAAAGTCTTGTTCTCTTCGCTTTCATATAAGTATATGCATACATGTACTTATTTTACAAATAATCGTATGTATAGATGGTAAATGGTCTTATACTTGCATAGCGCTTTCACACTGTTTAGCCATTCACCCACTCTCACACACCAGTGTTATCACCGGGAGAAACTGGGGTTTCATTGTCTTGCTCAAGGACACTTCGACATGTGGCCTGGACAAGCTGGGAATTGAACAGCTAATCTTCCAGTTAAGAGATGACCTGCTCTACCTCCTGAGCCACAGCCACCCCATAGATGCAGACACATGCAAAGAAACAACTAGCCCTTTAAATATAAGTGCATGGTGAAATTATTACATTCCAATAATAAATTAAAGCATCTTTGACCATTAACCTAAATTTCAAAATCTAATGTGCTGCAGTTATTGATCCTGACTGATGTTCTAAACCAATTTTCCACAAAAATTAAAAATTAAAAATGTCTATTTCTTTGAAAATATGAGGCATGATGCTTACGTTCATCACACGTTTTTGCATTAAAATTGTCTTAATTCGTTTTATGCATAATAAGAAAAAAGGTTACAACTCATACAAATGAGTGGGGAGCAATGATAATTAAGCTCTAACCCAAAAACAATTTGTTTTATAGCCTTTAGTTACATGTTATCACACCAGTTTACTACAGACTAAATTTTAAGCAAAACAATTAACATGATGGTTTCAGGCTTGACGACCATAAAAATATCTGTATTTTTATTTTTCTGTGCCTTCAATATATTTGCAGGTATAGTATAGTGGTAAACAAGCACATCTCGGAAGACATATTAGACAATAGAATAATTACCATAATCATGATTATTTTTCCCTGCATTTTAATTAGCTCTATGAAGCTCAATTAAGCTCTTCAGTATGAACGCCTATTCACTAAACAGCTGTCCACCTGTCATCTCGTTCCTGGGAAAAGGCTACAGTGCCTGTTCACGCCGAGGTACCATCACCAAATCGGGTGGGGGGTCAGAGGAGGCCCCTACAGCCTGCAAGGGGCCCTTGGTATGAGGGGTGTTTAATGCCACAGAAAGGACATCATTAAAGTATGCTAATGGCTTGCTTACAACTTAAAAGTCAACAAAGAATAAGGTGTGAGATTAGATATTTCAGGAACTCAGAGTAGAACTATATGTTCATGCAAAAGGCTGTGAAGATATTTGCCTAAACAAACCAAGTAATTTTAAAATGCAGTTACTAGTAACAGAACCCCCCCAGTTGACCCCATACATCTAAAAACTATAAATGCTCAGCATACCAATGTGCAATATTAGTTTTACCTTTTACTATTATATTTTATTATAACATTTACCTAGATTATATGGAGAATACTTTGCCTGTTACTTTTATGCTTAATCACTGAGTGTCTTGTTTCTATTCTTCTGCTGCTGTAGTTCTGTTTCCCTGTTGTGGGACTAATAAAGGTTCATTTTATCTTATCTTAGCTGTATTGTAGTCAATATAAATATACTGAGCCTAAACCTTTGAAAATCCATCCCTGGCAGCCTATTTGTTGTTGGGCATTATTTCTGTTTTGTCTGAGGAGGGAGGCTACTCAGAAATGTCATTACTTGGTAAATGGTGCTATACATGTACAGCTTTCTATGTGCTCTGAAATAATCCCTGTATGGCTGAACGGTTTCAGCATAAGCCAAAGTGTATCAGTGGTCAAAGAAAAAGAAAAATGTTGATGGGACCTGGGGAAGGTGAAAAGAAATGTTTTTGTAAAGCAAACATATAGATGATTATCTATAGATTGTAACTGCACACTAAATTGTTTTTAGTTGCCAACATAATCACATAGTTTTATTGACATATGCTTGTATTGTGTATAAAAACTGCTTTTTCATGTCAAATTTAACTCCTGTCACCACTGCTAATTACATTAGCAAGCCTGACATGAGCTGAAAAGCTAAAGTCATGTTGTATATGAATGAGTCAACAGCAGAGCCACACAACACAACACACAGATGTAACTGGCAAACAGTAGTGAAAAACAATAACGTTAAACGTGATAAACAGCAATGCCACCTTACTAGCACTCCCCAGATGGGACACACACACCAGAGAGCATCTTGTATAGTGCCACTAGATCAGCTACAACTTGGGTATCTGAGCACTGACTCTCACAGGGACATAACTATGCTTGTAGTGACTGTCAGAGTGCCACCAGACTTGTTTCTCATCAGTGGAAAAAAGTAAAGTCCGCCAGCAGTTTTCTCATGGCTGTTAGCTCTAATTCTGTCCATGCTACATTCTGAGCAGTGGTCTGTCTCCCCCATGTCAGACATTGCAAAGTGATAAGGCCACGCCCACCATTGTTCCCTCACTTTTTAAATTTGCTGGGAAAATAGAATAAAGGCATGAAGTCACCCATTAAATAAAATTAGGGTCCACCTGTGATATCTGCTTCCTGGCACTGTAGAATCCTTCCTTTAAGGTGCAGACACCTGTGTATGTCTAGACAAGCCAATGTGGGCTCCAAACAGCATGTTTGTTCTAATACCATAAAACAAAAATGGAGCATTCCACAGTGTTGCAAATGCTTCATTATTCTCAGTGGACAGCAGAGAAACTGCTCTCACTAGTGTATGACATAGTAGTGGTGAATTCTGTAAATTCGTCTTAGTATTTCCATGCTTCTTGACATCATGATGTACTGTATGTTCAGAATTAAATCTTATGAAGTGGCACCATCATCAATCCATTGGTTTGTTGGTGATGATGATTCTTCCATCTCTTCCTTTGTGGCACTAATTATTCCTCATACTCGGACCTGAGGAGACCATAACTGACAAGGACACCCGCTTTCTTTGGCTGCTTGATCCTCGAAAGTGAAACTCTGTTAATTACGTGGTGAGAGACAAAGCCCCTTTGGACTGGATGCATTAACCCCTTCTACCATGATTGCTACACACTCATTAAGCCTTCAAGAAAATACAGGACTAATGATGACTGGCCTCCATCATAACAAGCAGAGACGTGATTGCACTGCCACTTGCCTCTCTCCCACATTCTATAAAATTACTGAATCATTAGAATACCCTAAACAGTAACAGACTTCTGAGGAAAAGGAGCAAAAATTAATTAATACTATTTTGACAATGTCATTTTTATGTTTATTTTGATGGTGATTTGTGATTCATGATGACTGGAGATCTTTGATTTTAATTTCACTTTTCATTCATCCCTTAATATAGTACAACATAAATGAGACAAAATACACTTAGGCCAAAAATAATCCAATATTGTGCTTTATCTTTCAGTTCACATAAAATTGTTTCAAACACTGCAAGCAGTTATTTCCAAATATGCCAATCTAAAAATCAGTTGCATGGTCCAACACAAATAAAATGTAAAGATACATTGCCGAACCAATAGTAGCATCTCTCTTTTAAACAGCTTCATATTAAAAAAATAGAATTTCAGAAAATCCCAACCCTAAACTATTAGGACATAATGCATAAAACATTATTATTTCAGTGAATTAGTTTGCATGAAATTCCTTTATTTAACAGAAAAAACAGTAAAAACAAAGTTGGTTTCTGGTGAAAATGTAACCCATACACCCCCCCTTTTTTTGTTGTTGTTTTTTTTTTTTTTTTTTTTTTTTTTTTTCAGGCTGGGGCCGCTAAATAAAAGTTTTTGGTGGCACCTTTCCCCAATGCAGCCTTTTTTACAGGCCTGTGGCACAAACTAATCTGGCTCTAGGTTGACCTCTAGTGGTTGAAGCTGTCAACAACCTAAACCCAAAAGCCACTTTGTATTTTTTGTGAAGGATAAAAAAAGTAGATTTGTGAGTTCTTACACACAAACACAGACATTTGGCAGTTGACATGAGCATGAAGCAGACAGGGTCTATACCTACAGGATGTAATACTCGAGTGCCTGGATGTTATGACCTCAGAGTGAGTGTATGGTTCTGACCCTGTGCCTGCATCTAACCCCCGAGCTTCTCAGACTCGGCAGTCCTCACAGCCCTCAGCTGGTCCTCATGACCCACCTCAGCTTCAGGCACCTGAGACAGAAAACAGGGAATGAGATATTTAAGTTTCTACACTTTCAAGACCTCATTTGGTCTCAAACATCCTTCTAATTTCCAGACTGTAGATTTTCACGGTGCACGTTATTAGCCACTTCCTGTTTTTATGTCATCCAGGTCTCACTGAAGCAATTCCTTTGGTCTCGTGTTCTCCTTTCAGAAATGTATTAAGAAGATAAAATGGACAAAGATTAAACTGCAGTTATGGATAGAAAACAAAAAGCAGTGAGACAGAGAATAAATATCACTTCATAAAAAAACTAAAAATGAAAAAAAAAACAGAAGTCATTTGAAGGGGTTACAAATACTTGCTCGATTTATCTTGATTTATCTTTAATTTCTTAAACTGGAGCGCACACACTATTCATGAATACACAATTTAAATACCTCTGACTACTGGGTGCATTTAGCATTCATTCCATTTTTGGTAACAAATTGATAAAGTGTCTATCTTTTATAAATATATGTAATAAAAAACAAAAAAGAGTCCTTAGTCTGCATGTACCCCTACAGAGTGCACGTGACACTGCATATAGAATGGATTGTTACAACCCTCTTTTCATAAAATGTACTTCCCTGCTGCATATCGCATTGTTGGGAAGTCTAAATGATGTCTTCCCACAGTGAGAAAGTCTGACATCATCCTGGATGTGCTTCCTGTAATCCATCTGCTCATCACACGGTGAGGTGGTGACTCTGCGCCACCTGGTGGTCAGACACCAGCGTCACCAGCTTTGGTGCAAACTTGCCATCTTGTGGCTGTAAGACCGAATGCTAAACTCATCCAGGAAAGTTCAGTGATGACACTTGAGTTTTTACTCTTTATTTTAGTTGAGCAAAGTTCACTGTAAAGCAGAGTATTGCCAAAATAATATGTTCAACTGTACAGCAAATTGTTGGTGATTTTACAGTTTTTGCATGTTTATCTGACTTCCTGTGTTCTACAAAGAGTTTATATTTATGCTACTATTTCATTGGAATCAATTAATTGTGAGATACCAGATTACTTGCCTCTTTATGAAAAATGTCTAAGGAAACACTGTTAAACTATTAGAAAAATATGGACCTGTAAAATAAACTGTTACACATTAGAGTACAATGCTTGATTTTAAGTGTCCCTAGTTTTAATTAATAGCTTTCACAATAAGATGTTTCTAGGAAAAATTTGGAATTTGATACCAATTATAGGTAATATCAGATTTTTCTTGACACAATTACTCCGCTTAATACAAGTATTTATTCACCACTTATTGGAAACTTCATTCTCTGTATACAGTATGTGGTGTAGAAAAATGTCACCTTTGCTTGTTCAGCTGACCTGCTGAGCTCTGACTAAAGACTAGCAATTAATTCAAACCGCATTCACTCAACAAAGCCTGTAAGTGGATTATTTTCAGGAAATGTTTTGTAAATTTGCAGGAAATTATTCAGAAACAACAACTGCAAAAAACAAGCACCAAAGTCAGACTCACCTCCCAGTAGATGCTGTCCTCAAAGCAGATGTTGTCAGAAGGAGCGCCAAAGATGGGCAGCTTCAAGATGAAACCTGAAACAAAAGCAGAGAACGAGTTGTTAATAATGTGCAGAACAATCAGGATTACTTTGAATCTCACATAGCACTGATACATTTGGCCAATAATAGCTATCTCAGCAAAAGTACAGTACAATATCAAGCAGTCAGTTTTTTGTTTTTGTTGTTTGTTTTTTTTACTAGAAATGAGAATGTATTTGTTTTACACTTTCCATGGCTGAGAGTCTGTGCACCTAATATACAGTTTTCGGAACCCTGGATATGAGTGGCACCTGATCCTCTGTGTGAAATCTGCAGGTGTGTCCAAAATCTAAAGTTACAACTTGAAGCTGGGCCACTAATGTGCACAGGAAAGTATTCATTCTGCCTTCACCAGCTGCTAATACACAGGAAAATGCCTCACTGTGGAAACAATGGTACTACAGATACATAAGGTGGTACTGGTATTACTGAGTTTCTTTATCAAGGCATGCTACGGGGTACTCTGTAAATATCCTCGCCTTTCTTTTCAAAACCACATACTACAGCAAATAATGGGCAACACATACTCACTGATATGTTCACATTTTTTACTGTATATATTTAGAAGGAGTAAGCTAATGAGAGAATTTGCTTCTGTAGCTTGAACAAGTCAGCTCCAAACACAGTATATTGTGAAGGAGAGAAAACCCAGCATTTAAGTGAGTGAATCATGTCTGTCATTAACCCAGTCAGCACCTATGTGGCCATTACATAATGAAGGGCAGTAGAAATCTTACTTATCACTTCTTTAATGGGTTCCCCCAGCAGGCACTGATTTGTGTTGGCATCTCAGTTAATTATGGGCTAATTGTGTAAGAAAATGAAGGCTTGGGGTTGTACTATATTTCATTTTTACTGTGGATCTCTGGACATCTGGTAACTTCCAAATCACTGTGTGGTTCTGAAACTCCACTCTATGTTGTTCAAATGACTTTGTCCAGTGTTGCGATTTACTGGAATAACTGGGGAGAATGTGTCACCTACCAACAAGAAGCCCTCCCACCAGGGCCATGCCCAGGGTGACAACAAGGGAAATGGCCTGACGAGCGCCCTGGAAGGAAGCATCAGTTTCTCCGCTCGCCACATCAGGGAACACGTCTTCCATACTGACACACACAGAGAGCAAAATAACAAGTCAGCTGATTCTTATCACTGCTGGGTTAGTACAGTATAACCTTATTTGACAAATACAGTATATAGACAAGGATTGATCTATGCACTTCTGAACCAACTGAAAAGGAAAAGAGTGACAGGCACAACCCCACAGATTTGCTTTCTTTTACAGGTCAGTGCATGCTTCATATCAGCAATGTAATGAGAAATGAGTGACAAACCTATGGAAAGCTGAGATCTGTGCATGT